ACATTAACAAATACAGAAAATCTTCATTCTCTCTTGATAATAACAATTCTCTCTTGTCACATTAACAAATACAGTAAATCTTCATTCTCTCGATTCTCATTCTCTCTTGATAAGAACAATTCTCTCTTGTGACACTAACGAATACAGAAAATCTTCATTCTCTCGATCCTCATTCTCTCTTGATACTGGTATTACGTTCAGTACGCTGAACCCACTGCAGTATACCCTACCCCGACACTGCTATTTCACACACCTTGTTACATTCCTGAGCTGATAGTGAGTGGTAAGTCATGTCTACCAGTTTATGAATCCGTAATGACCCGGTAATCAATGGCCATATGCACAGCACAGATAAATATGTTCAGGCCTCACTGGCTGTCATTATTTCCGATCGAGGTGATCATCGGCAACAACACCCTTCGTAACTTAATCAATAATATATCATAAACTTATCCCGTCAAATGTGTGTGTCAACCCTGGAAGGGTGGAGTTATCGAAGCTGACTACATTAGGAATATTTCTGTTATTTGCAACAGTTCTTGAAACAAGAGTGCAGTGAGAAACTGCTTAAGCCGTTTCTAGTGGCAATATCGACAAGTGAGCGAGTGAGTTGGGTTAAACGCCGCTTCGAACAGTATTCCAGTTACATAATGGTGTGTTCCTTCGAGGAAAGTACTGAGTGGCGCAGGTCTCAGATGTCAACCACTTGGGGTAATATCGCCAGGAATCATTTTGCCATTGAATGCCTTCCATCATTTCCATAACGTCTCCATAGTGCATGGAGTTCTGGGAGAGGTGTCAGGTTCACCGACAGAAGTAAAGGTTTACTTACAGAGAGTCTGCCCTGTCACTGAGGGGAGTGACAAGCAGGAAACTGTGATTTTATTGTAGGAATTTATGACTGGACATTCTTCGCCTTTGAAAAATATCTTCGGGTCTTTCGGATGACAATCAGTAAATGTCCGAGAAAAAAAGCCAAACTGAAACCCTGGATGAATGAGTGAGCTATCAACTGGCTTATGTGTGAGTGAGTGATCAGCTGGGAGAGTTAGTGACCGACCAGGAGAGTTAGTGACCGTCCAGGTTCAGCTAGGCGAGTTAGTGACAGACCAGGTCTGTCACAAAATCTCTTAAAAACATCAATACAAAGACCTGAGTCTGCTTCTATCCTTTTCAATCGCCCCCCCCCCCCCCCCCCCCCCCCTCAATTCTAGTTGCAGACTGAACAAATATCTATTAAGAATGAACATGTGTATGCATGCACACACACATGCACGCACACATGCACACACATATGCACACACCACATCACATATACTACTTTTGATGAGGATATTTCTATCTTTCCATGATATACAAAACTGATTCCCATATGCCAAGTGTATATTCAAATAGGATGGCCATATCTAAATCCCTAACAAAGGTTGAGTGGTATATTTAAAAGAAAAATTCTTCCTGATGACAAGGTAGACACAATTTTATGGATAACAACTTCTTTAATACTGTAAAAAGCGACGTTTCAGCATAGATCCTTATACCGTTGTCAAGCTGCCTTGTCACCCGTCAACTTCTAAGTAATGCCTATCAGACAAGTGATCTTCCTGATGATAAAAATAAAACATGCAGCTTACTGTTTAAAGTTTCAAATATATTGGACTGTACACTCGCACTGCAAGTACTTTTGTACGAGTCAAGTACTACATACATTCAATTATCAAAATTATCGTGACCTGAGTGAACAGATATTTATATATACAAGCCACACACCAACAATGCATATCTCCGAGTCCAACACAACTTGAAATACATATCCTCCAATGCAAAATGTCACCATGATAGGACCTAACACTGAAAACAACAAGTGGTAACTTGTGCAGCGAACTTAATCACACACCACAACAATTCCTCCAGTTCTGACAGCTTGTGTGCCTCCCAGGCCTCTGTGTAAGTATACAGAAGACTGCCTGTACTGGATCACATGACCTGTGTCGTGGTGCAGTCACTATCCCCACCATACATAGTGGATACCCTCTCCACACAGGCCAGGCTGTGTCTCTGAGGACATAATTACAAAAGTACGAGAACATATACAAGCCTCATTTCTTTCACATGCTGGACTTAACTGGGTTGGTTGGCCAATACAGATGCCTCTCAGACATATTTTGGGGGGTCAAAGTCATGAACATGGGGTCCCAGTGGGGAGACATGTGGTACCTTCAGTTAATGTCCAAGATATTACTGATGTCACAACAATGCACATGTTCTGAATTCTATAATAGATGGGGATTTCGGTGTTAGGGTCAAGAAAGTCAACCATTGACACTCTAAACTCGGGTGTATTTCATAGCAGAATAGAAATGTCACCTACACTTAACAGGACTCACAATGTAAATTATTTGTGGACATTCTTAACTTTTATGCATATGGGACACAATACTTTGAGGTGAGGTGAAATGGGGTATAAACGTCAGGTCCAAGATCATTGCACTTATATAGCGACATGCATGCATGCCGATGATACTGCTAGCCCACTGAGATACCATGCCACAGTTTAACATGAATACCCAACTCAGACACAGTATACTGACTCCAACTGACCAGTCCTTGTGTTAGCCCCTTAATGCCGAGCGCCAGACAGTGTAACAACAAGTACCATCTTTTAACGCCTTTTGTATGACGCGGTTAGGGATCAAACCCCAGACCTTCCGCTCTTCGGCTGGATGCTCTATTTTGATCCAGTAATACCCTGATATACCAATGTTTTTACTAATTTGGTCACAATTAATTGAGACCGCCTCCGTGGTCAAGTGGTAGAGCGTCTGCCCGGAGAGCAGTGAGCTAGCACTATTAATCGGCATCAATCCGGACTAGTACAAGCAGCCACACAAACACACACACGTACATGCACGTCGCTATATAAGTGCAAAAATCTTGGCCGCGACATTAAACCCCATTTCACCTCACCTCACCTCACCTCACAATTAATTGAAAAGAAATCAACTATTTGAATAAAATTAAAACAGAAGTCTCTTATTCCTGAGACTTTGTTTCCATGTGATTGTTACAGTAGATTTCCTGAACTAATTTCCAAAATGCTCATAATTAATTTAACTTTAATTAATTTGACATCAATTAACACTACATCAATATTAACGTTACTAACAGAAGATCAACAAACCCAATAAATCCAAAACCTTCTTCAGCTTTCAACATCAACATCCCCATCCCCAGTTTATCAAATAAACAACACAATTCACTCCCAAAGTAGAAAACACAAAGCTTCAGACCAACAAAAGATGCTATATATATCTCAGGATGAACTGCGTCTTGAAAGTATTGACAGAGAAATACCAACATTTCCCTATGAAGACAAACGGGAATATGAGAAGGAGTGTACAGTAAATGCAACATGAAAGCTATCCACATCCAAAGAGAGGCTGAAAAAAGCTATCATCACCATTGCACTCTATTGCCATGAAGCTTTTAAAGAATCAATGCATAGATCACTGAGATGTGTTACACTGGCGTCATCCGATGTTTGTCAGCTAGAAACATAATCACAGCCCCATCCAATACCTGCTCATCAGGCTAGATGAGCTCCAATACAAAGATACAACATATTGCCAGTAAACAGAATAACAAGGGAGAGACACAGAAACACATCCTCAGGTACTCTTTGTCTAATGATGCTGTGGTTGTGGATTTCAATATCACTGAGTTTGTTGGGCTGAATGCTTCCTTTTAGTGGGTGAGGAGAAATTGGGTTTAACATAATGTTCAAAACTATTGCACATAGATTACAACATATATGCACGTGTATGTGTGTGTGGCTGCTTGTACTTGTCCATACTTGTGGCGATTTTATAGTCCTTGCCTATTGAGACACCATGCTGCTGGTTAACATGGATACCCCACTCAGACATAGTATACAGACTCCAAGCCAACCAGTCCTTGTTTTATCCCTTAAATGAAGAGTGCCAGGCAGGGTAACAACAAGTACCATCTTTCAAAGTCTTTGGTATGCGTGGGCAGGGATCGAACCACCAACCTTCTGCTCTCCAGGCAGACACTCTCCATGGAGACAGACCTTCTACTTTTCACAATATTTCACCCTGGGGTCACCAGGAATGAGTTTCACACACTGTACCAACATCAGGATTGAAACCTGGTCTTTGTCATGGTGGGCCAATGAATATATCACTTGATTACCCACTGCCTCATTTCAAAAATAAATTCTAAAAGTAAGGAAATAAAGTTTTCTCAAACACTGGAGATCCAATCAACATGGTTTTCTAATAGTTTAAGGTTAAATGCAAGGCCTCTTACTGTTAGTTAGTCTTACACAAATACAGTATGTGAAGTTATTTCGTAAAATATTAAATTGAAGTGAAATTAAAGAGAAATAGAGGGTTAAAGACGTATGTATTTGCCTTTTAAAAATGACCATAAGATTGCAACAGTCAACACTGATAAATTTACCTACCGACAAAAAGTTTTGTTTGACTGACCTACCAACATGGCAGCGAAGAGGACGTCTGTTGAAAAATCTAAAGATTTTATAGTGTGATTATTGCCAAAATAGGAATTTATGGCTATGATGTAATAGATGTAGGAAATTCACAAAAAATCAAGACATACAGAATATCAGGCCAAAAGGATTTCGTGATTTTGGGATTCAAACCCCATCAATACCTGGTAAAAGGAGTGACACAATAGCTTGGGGATCATACTCAGCAGTGTTAGAACTGAACTCAAAAGCTTTACACGCCAGGCTAAAGATAAAATGCCCTTGTAAGCATAAAACAATGGGGGAAACTAGGAAATTACCCCCTTTCTCCCTCCCCCCCCCCCCCCCCCAGGGTAGAAGGCCAATGTTAAGTTCTAGTCCTGCACCGATGAATGATGCATCCTGGGAAGACTTACACATGTGACCTGACATGTGACATGTGCATTCAGTGGCATAAAATAAAAGTGCTTTTCAGATGATTGATGTCACTTACCTGGGGGGCACTACAGCTCCTACAGATGATGTCGACAGGGGAACCTTACTTTCCGTAATTGATTTGAACATTCATCTGCAAACAAAACAAACAGGACATAAGATTTCAACATCACTACCTTTCAATTTCCAGTTACATTCAGATCTCATATACGCTCTGACATGAGTAGATATCTTAGGTAAACAATGTCTTATTTACCTATTAGGAAATGTATTCTCTTTATTGTTTACATTGTAAATACATTTGTGGTTCAATTTGCCTGACAAGATGTAAAAACTTAAAGAATTCCTGTCACATCAATTTCACAATTGCCAGACTTGTATCCATCTTCTGTGTGGAAATGTTCAAACTCGTTCCACTGAAGCGAATTTGCTAAGCTTTCTTGCCTTTCAAAATGACCTGTCTGACCTATTCAGGGCTAACAGTTATTCAGCCCCAAAAGAAAGATCATTCATAACTTACAACACTCTCAAAATACTGTCATGTCATGTTATGTCATGTCAAATCATGATCATACAAAACAAAAATCACAGAATGACTGCGGGTGCTTTAATGACCATGTGCAAATGAATTAGTCAGACATCCACACAAAAAAACAAAAAGATTTCTCTACAAACCAAATGGTTTCATGATTTTGTTGTTTGTATTATACCAAGATGCGAGCAAGTTTTAATGAAATGCCATGAAATGTCGCCCCTCACAGGCAAACATTTCATTATTCCCACAATGCAATTCCCAATTCCCCAAATGAGAATGTAATGTAATACACATATGATTGCTAAGTCTTCATTCTTGATCCACAAAGTAAGGCCACTAGGCAGCCGAGGCCTTGTAATGTTTTAGAGCTCCATTCAAATTTTACTGCAAATTGCTCACATGACACTTGATGAATTACTTCACGATATACATCACTTCATCCTGTGGGGCCTGACTGTCACCATGACAGCTACCAACAACCCCGTGACATGTTATTGATTCAACACAATTCCTAATGTTTCCGAATGTAGTACATATTATTCATAGTTGAAACATATTTCAGGCATAAAAATACAGCCGAAAAGAGGCACTTTTTAAACTCTGATTTCATAATCATATTAAAAAAAGTAGCCTCAAGGCTATATCATGCATATAGCTCACCTGAGAGCTGTTCAGATATGAATTAACCATATAAACACAAATATTCAGCTATGGCGATTAAGGAGCTAAAGTATTATTTTAAATATGGATGCCATTATGGATGCCATTTTGGCTCGTAAAACCTATCAGATTCTTCAAGCGTGTTATCATATACCCATTTTCATACATCCATACATTATTCAGTTTCGCCTTCCTTTTGTTTTCAAAAAAGTTTGAAAGCTTACGACAGAAACAGATTAACAAAGAACATTGACCGCACAAGTTAACATGAACATTGATACAGATGAGTTGGGCTGGGACGGGTAACCTGGGTACTCGGGTCGGGTGGGTACTGAGTAGGAGCCGGGTACCCACAAGACTACCCGGACCCGTGGTTAGTCGCGTGATACATTGTTCAATGACAAAAATTATTGACAACTCTATGTTTAAACTACAAGTCACTAATGTTCGCCGTTCTTTCTAACTATCCCCCCATTCCTTCTGACTTTTATATGTTTGAATAGAAACAAAAATTCCGTCAACTTCAGTGTATGCATGACCCGATCATTTTATATGTATATCTACATACATTTTGCCAGGGCTACAGTCAAACTATTCCCAATCGGACAGTTTGTACTTCTTGAGACCTACAGCAGGTACCCGGGTAGGGTCGGGTAATAGAGGGGTGGGTACCCGGGTAGGGTCGGGTATCAGAGGGGTGGGTACCTGGGTAGGGTCGGGTAATAGAGGGGTGGGTACCCGGGTAGGGTCGGGTATCAGAGGAGTGGGTACCCGGGTAGGGTCGGGTAATAGAGGGGTGGGTACCCGGGTTGGGTCGGGTAATAGAGGGGTGGGTACCCGGGTAGGGTCGGGTAATAGAGGAGTGGGTACCCGGGTAGGGTCGGGTAACAGAGGGGTTGGTACCCGGGTAGGGTCGGGTAATAGAGGGGTGGGTACCAAGCTAGTAAATGTGGTCTCCTCCCAACTCTAGGTAAGCAACAGTGTTGGGTATCAGGCCTCTCATCCACCAATAAAACATATCTACCATCCACCTGCAGCAATATTTGAGAGTCATTGCTATGTTTTTAGCAATATATGATATTGAAAATATTTCATAAGATAAAACCCTTTCACATCTCAAAGTCTCATGATTGATAATGGATAGTGGGTGAAACATTACATTCTCTGTAATGTGGTATGACTCACTTTCAGCAGTCTCAGTGAAGTCATATCAGTTGAGTGAGTCCGGTTGCTAACATTAAAATAAACACAGTTACAGTTGCATCATATCATGTCATGTCATGTCAGCTTGATAGTGGAGGCAAACCCAAGGTTTTGTTTGTTTGTTTCTCTTTTCAACGCCACACTCAGCAATATTCCAGCTATATGACAGCAGTCTGTAAATAATTGAATCTGGACCAGGCAATCCAGTGATTGAGATCATGAGCATCAATCTACGCAATTTGGATACAATGACTTGCATCAACAAAGTCAGCGAGCCTGACAACCTGATACTTTGGTGAGGTGAGGTGAGGTAGGGTGAGGTAGGGTGAGTTGAGGTGAGATTAGGAGAAGCTACCGTGAGGGAGCAAACCACAAATCTCTCCAGTGAGTGTGAGAGTGAGTTAATTCAATGCCGCTTTGAACAGTATTTCAGTTAAATCACTGCATGTCAGCTTGATGTGGGAGGAAAGCCCGAAGAGATATAGATCTCAGACCTGTACCATGTTTACCCCATTGGTGAAACCTACGAGACCGGTATGGTGCTGACAAACCTAGAAACATAATCGGGGTGAACCAGGATCCCAACCCACATTCCTAGTTTTCTCGCGTGCCAAAGGGACGCAACTCTGCACCTTAGATGATTGCACCTTAGATGATTGCACCACCCATGACCCCATGGGCCACCCTAGGCAGAGGCTCCATCCACAAGACCATGGAGGCGTTCCACATTGGTGAATTTAATAAATCTGGGATTCGAACCCATGATAATTAGATCCTGACACAGTTGAAGGACATAACTCTGCACAGCAAATAGCCACATCTGGCAGCACACGTCTCCAAGATCAAGTGAGAAGTGTTAATCCATTGGATTATTCCACTTAACATAACCATTATCCGGTGTCATATAAAAGGCTTAAGACCCAATAGAACTATTCTCTTTATCATTAATAAATCACGTCAGTATAAAGGCTTTGATTTCAGCGCCTTTCAAGATGTCATCCCGCTTTACTGCTTCTTAAAAACATCTTATCTTCTGTTGTGTGTGAATAACCTTCTTTGATAAATATTTCTCCATAAACCAGCCTTTTTAATTATATCTATTTGAAAAGTTGGGATGAATAACTTTGAAGTCTGTTATTTCCTCCTATCCAGCATTTTCCTGACAATAGAAATGTGATCTTTAGTATGTCGGATGTCATATTTCATAAAGTATGTCCTCCATCGTACATCATTACAGTGCAAAGTTAACGTTTTAGGAACATTCCCACATCACTGTCGTGACTGACATTGAAAGAAACATGCCAATAAAATATTATAATGTCATTGTTTGAACAATTGCTGAAGGACCATTTTCATCATCAGATTCAGACTCAGTGTTAATGTTCCTAGAAGTATGAGCCAGTGACACACAGCATGTGAGTATAAGGCAGAAGCAAGGTACAGTAAACTATGTTAATAACAATATATGCTGTATATGTGCTGTATATGTGCTGTATATGTGCTGTATATGTGCTGTATATGTGCCGTATATGTGCTGTATATGTGCTGTATATATGCTGTATATGTGCTGTATATGTGCCGTATATGTGCTGTATACGTGCTGTATATGTGCTTATATGTGCTGTATATGTGCTGTATATATGCTGTATATGTGCTGTATATGTGCTTATATGTGCTGTATATGTGCCGTATATGTGCTGTATACGTGCTGTATATGTGCTTATATGTGCTGTATATGTGCTGTATATATGCTGTATATGTGCTGTATATGTGCTTATATGTGCTGTATATGTGCTGTATATGTGCTGTATACGTGCTGTATATGTGCTGTATATGTGCTGTATATGTGCATATAACGAACTATCTTCACTGGTTCCACCACCTTGGTGATGGTTTTGGCAAAATCATAATCAAAATCAGGGTGAAACTGGGATTCAAACTCACATCACAGACAAAGGATGCAATTGTGAACTGTCAATTGTGCCAAGAATTGTATAAGCAGAGAGTATAGAGTGAAACAATAATATATAACATGTCATTATCATGAATATTCACACATAAAATTCAAACACTGGGTGGGAAAATGTATTGCAAATATTTATTAATACAGTATTGGTAATACCATTTGTTCCAAATCTAAAACATTGAATAAAAATCCTCTAAATTGTTTTTACTTGTTACTTGCTTTATTTATTTTTTACCAAGACAGACCAGGCAGATGTCAATCTGAAAGTGTGGTTTCTTCTGCTATTGGTAGCAGTATCAAAGGGGTTAGTATAGAAGGAAAATAAGAGTGAACTTGGGCCTATATAAAATGTTTAATCAACAAGGTCAAGTGGCTTTACAATGTTGACTCCCAAGACGAATGAAAGATAATTTTTCCGTTACCTTCCTGCATTGGATCTACACCCTATAATACCTTCAGGTGAATTTAAACCTCTATATCGTCACAAATGAAAATGGTTTTCAATACGAAAGTCCATTCCTACAATACACACACACAATTCTCTGCAGTTGTGGCATAGTTTAGTCTACGCCTTTTCGCACCAGGGTAATTTAAACCTCTATATCGTCACAAACAAAACCGGTGTCAAAAATATGAACATTCAACCATGACACTACACCATGATACACACTCAACTCTCGGCAGTTGTAGCAAGCAGTTAGATAATGCTACATACAAAAGCAAAGCTGAAAGCAGTCCATATAGAAAACAGAGAATCGGTCTGTCCATC